GCCGAACACCGTACTTCACTATCAGGTCAAGTGGCATCCCCAGATAAACAGAACACTTCAGGGATAGCTTAGGCCTGTGTCCCAAATAGCAACCTATTCCCTATATAGTGAACTACTTTTGATCATAGGGTGCCATTTGGGATGCATACTTGATTACACCAGGGGTTACACCAAAATATGGGTAGCATAATTTACAAGGACGCACAGGGGATTTTAAAGTCATTCGTGAACAAAGTGCATTACAAATGAGCTGGTGTGCACTGTAAATAAGACAGGGATATATACAGTATATATACCCTGCCTGCCTGCCTGGACACATCCAAGGATTCAGAGAAGGTTTTTGTTTGTATTAATGAATGATACAATTCTATGGGCACTCGGTTTTTCTCCGCTTGTTTTGTGCTGGTGCCAAAATGTTTACATATCTACTGTCTGGTGATCTTCCTCCATGTCTTTATGTAGGATATGTATATCTACTGTCTGGTCTTCTTCCTCCATGTCTTTATAAAGCAGTGCCCTACATAGGAGTCATCCTGGTCTAAAGTAGTGCCCTATATAGGAGTCATCCTGGTCTAAAGTAGTGCCCTACTGTATATAGGAGTCATCCTGGTCTAAAGTAGTGCCCTATATAGGAGTCATCCTGGTCTAAAGTAGTGCCCTATATAGGAGTCATCCTGGTCTAAAGTAGTGCCCTACTATATATAGGAGTCATCCTGGTCTAAAGTAGTGCCCTACTGTATATAGGAGTCATCCTGGTCTAAAGTAGTGCCCTATATAGGAGTCATCCTGGTCTAAAGTAGTGCACTATATAGGAGTCATCCTGGTCTAAAGTAGTGCCCTACTGTATATAGGAGTCATCCTGGTCTAAAGTAGTGCCTATTAGGAGTCATCCTGGTCTAAAGTAGTGCCTATATAGGAGTCATCCTGGTCTAAAGTAGTGCCCTATATAGGAGTCATCCTGGTCTAAAGTAGTGCCCTAGTATAGGAGTCATCCTGGTCTAAAGTAGTGCCCTACTGTATTATAGGAGTCATCCTGGTCTAAAGTAGTGCCCTATATAGGAGTCATCCTGGTCTAAAGTAGTGCCCTATATAGGAGTCATCCTGGTCTAAAGTAGTGCCCTACTGTATATAGGAGTCATCCTGGTCTAAAGTAGTGCCCTATATAGGAGTCATCCTGGTCTAAAGTAGTGCCCTATATAGGAGTCATCCTGGTCTAAAGTAGTGCCCTATATAGGAGTCATCCTGGTCTAAAGTAGTGCCCTATATAGGAGTCATCCTGGTCTAAAGTAGTGCCCTATGTATATAGGAGTATCCTGGTCTAAAGTAGTGCCACTATTAGGAGTCATCCTGGTCTAAAGTAGTGCCCTATATAGGAGTCATCCTGGTCTAAAGTAGTGCCCTATATAGGAGTCATCCTGGTCTAAAGTAGTGCCCTATATAGGAGTCATCCTGGTCTAAAGTAGTGCCCTATATAGGAGTCATCCTGGTCTAAAGTAGTGCCCTATATAGGAGTCATCCTGGTCTAAAGTAGTGCCCTATATAGGAGTCATCCTGGTCTAAAGTAGTGCCCTATTAGGAGTCATCCTGGTCTAAAGTAGTGCCCTATATAGGAGTCATCCTGGTCTAAAGTAGTGCCCTACTGTATATGGAGTCATCCTGGTCTAAAGTAGTGCCTATATAGGAGTCATCCTGGTCTAAAGTAGTGCCCTATATAGGAGTCATCCTGGTCTAAAGTAGTGCCCTATATAGGAGTCATCCTGGTCTAAAGTAGTGCCCTACTGTATATGGGAGTCATCCTGGTCTAAAGTTGTGCCCTATATAGGAGTCATCCTGGTCTAAAGTAGTGCCCTATGTAGGAGTCATCCTGGTCTAAAGTAGTGCCCTATATAGGAGTCATCCTGGTCTAAAGTAGTGCCCTATATAGGAGTCATCCTGGTCTAAAGTAGTGCCCTACTGTATATAGGAGTCATCCTGGTCTAAAGTAGTGCCCTGCTGTATATAGGAGTCATCCTGGTCTAAAGTAGTGCCCTATATAGGAGTCATCCTGGTCTAAAGTAGTGCCCTACTGTATATAGGAGTCATCCTGGTCTAAAGTAGTGCCCTATAGTAGGAGTCATCCTGGTCTAAAGTAGTGCCCTATATAGGAGTCATCCTGGTCTAAAGTAGTGCCCTACTGTATATAGGAGTCATCCTGGTCTAAAGTAGTGCCCTATGTAGGAGCCATCCTGGTCTAAAGTAGTGCCCTATGTAGGAGCCATCCTGGTCTAAAGTAGTGCCCTATATAGGAGTCATCCTGGTCTAAAGTAGTGCCCTACTGTATATAGGAGCATCCTGGTCTAAAGTAGTGCCACTATATAGGAGTCATCCTGGTCTAAAGTAGTGCCACTATAGGAGTCATCTGGTTAAAGTAGTGCCCATGTTAGGAGACCATCCTTGGTTCCTAAGTGTGCCCTACTATATCACGGTTGATACCCCATGAATTAAGATCATTGGAAGTGTGCCTACGTATTAGGAGCTATCCGTGGTCTCAAGTAGTGCCATAGAGTCATCTGGTTAACAGTAGTGCCAATAGAGTCGGTAAAGTAGTGCTATAAGGACATCATGGTAAGTGCCCTATAGTGATCTCTGGTCTGAAATAGGCCCTATGATCATCCTCTAAAACGTAGTGCATTGGTCATCACTGGTCTAGTAGCTCCCTATATGGGAATCTGGCTAAGTAGTCCCTATAGCAGTCATACTGTTAAGTAGGCTCTTGGCATCATCCATGGTTAACAAGTTGCCCTCACTGATCATCGGCTAACCATGACATTGGTCAAGCTGGGCCATATAGGAGTCTCCGCTAAACTAGGCCCTCTGTAAGGAAGTACCTGGCAAGTAGTGCACCTATATAGGAGTCATCCTGGTCTAAACTTGCCCTACTGACATCCTCCTGGCTAACAGAGCCTACTAGTATCCCCAAATAGTTGCCTATATAGGAGTCATCCTGGTCTAAAGTAGTGCCCTACTTATATGGAGTCATCCTGGTCTAAAGTAGTGCCCTATATAGGAGTCATCCTGGTCTAAAGTAGTGCCCTATTAGGAGTCATCCTGGTCTAAAGTAGTGCCCTAATAGGAGTCATCCTGGTCTAAAGTAGGCTATATAGGAGTCATCCTGGTCTAAAGTAGTGCCCTACTGTCATATAGGAGCCATCCTGGTCTAAAGTAGTGCCCTATATAGGAGTCATCCTGGTCTAAAGTAGTGCACTATATAGGGAATAGAGTGCCATGTGAGAAGACACGGACATTCTGGGATTCCCTAACTTGCTACCTCTCTCACGTTGACTACCCCATGAATTTAAAATCATTTGGAAGGTGTACAGTATTAAAGCAACATGATTGCCGTAGATCTTCAAGGGCAAGTCATCGATAACAGATAACAGATAGAGGGTAATAAGTTAAAAGGAATCAGGGTGCACCATCCATGATCTGCTGGTCTGACCATACAGGCTCTGATCAGTCCCTACACCCAAACGAGGGCATTGCGTTCATCCACCTCTGGTCTGCTGGCTCCCCTTCCTCTGCGGAAGCATAGTTCCCGCTCAGCCCAGTCAAAACTGTTCGCTGCTCTGGCACCCCAATGGTGGAACAAGCTCCCTCACGACGCCAGGACAGCGGAGACATTTGAAACCCCACCTCTTTAAGGAATACCTGGGATAGGATAAAGTAATCCTTCTACCCCTCCCTTACCCCAACCCCCCCCCCCCCCCCCCCCCCCCAAAAAAATAAAAATAAATAATAATAATAAATAAATTAAAAAATTAAAAAAACATTGTAAAGTGGTTGTCCCACTGGCTATAAGGTGAATGCACCAATTTGTAAGTCGCTCTGGATAAGAGCGTCTGCTAAATGACGTAAATGTAAATGTAAATGTAATAATCAGAGTTAGTTAGTCAACCGAATAGAAGTGATGACTTGCAGCTACTGCAAACGCTGCATGTTTAAGGGGTGTGATTATAGGAAAGATAATGGAGTCATTCAAACCAATTACACCAAAGTCATGCTGAGACAGGAGGAGAGGAGGACAGTTACGTTCATGCAAAATCAAAATCCGAATTAATTTACTTTATCCAAACTAGTGTTGTATTCTAAATAATAAGTGCAACCCTTAAAGTAATGTCATTAAAATGTAATAAAAGGTATTTTGTGTCTACAATGATGACTCATAAGTAGCCTATTCAACACTTAATGCATTTGTATAGTTATCATAATATCATCTCTGAAAATATTCAATTTTATTACATTAAAATATTAGGATGCAGCTTTTAAGTCTGTCATTCATCAGGTTTTGTACATAGTTGTTGTTGGGGTTTTTTAGCGCGGGAGGAGAGCTATGGCAGGGGAATAGCCTACCGTTGCACCGTGCACGTGTCGTGTGCTGAGGACAGCCCAACATCAGAAGCAGCAGCATCATCTGAAAACGGAGGTGAGGAACGGAGACAGTTTCTCACCCACTGGAGTGACAGGAGGCGAGACAACACCGACGCTGAGCGGAGATACGGAACGGAAAGCATAACTATTGCGCGCCACCGGATTGATAGGGAGAAAGTGGAAATACAAACGGCTCGAAGGGTGGGCAAATTCGCTGCTCGCGCGTCTTCAAGATAATTTGATGAATGAAGGATTAAAGACTCCATATGAATAAAGAGGGATTTATGATTACGTTGTAGAGATGAACAGTTTCTGCCACCATGGGTTTCTGTCACACTATTCTGACAATGTGAGAGAATTAAATTAAATTACCTCTGCATGCCTTGAGGACAGCAGTATTGACTATTTGCCTAACCATGAATAAACTGTTGTTCCTGGTTTAATAATAGTAATTTTTTGTTCTTATAATTTCTTTTCATTATAAATTGTCATGATAAATTACAATTAAATCTGCTATGATTCCATTTCAAATCAAAGTTGAAGAAGACCACTTTCTTCTTTAAGAAGATTAGTTAACCGAAAAATAACAAACGATGCATTCACTGACTGGAAGGACATACAACTTAAACTCAATGCAAGTCGTCATTGAAAGGACAAGGACCATGCAGGACATACTATCCCTGACGTTAAAGGATGAAGTGAGGATGGTTGAAGGAACTGTGGCCCCTAGAAACTCTTCTTCACAAGGGGATGGCGGGGACTCGGAGGGGCATCCTGACCCGTTGGCGGTCACCCTACTGGCAACAGTCCTGATCATAACTATTGTGGTAGACATTCTGGGGAACCTGTTGGTCATCTTGTCTGTCTTCAGGAACAGGAAACTCAGGAAAGCAGGTAAAAGCCTATTGCAAGGAGCCACCCAGTCTTATTTTTTCTTTCTGTGTTAGTACTACAGTACTGAGGTATCTGTGTTGTTAGTAGTAATACAGTAATGAGGTATCTGTGTTGTTAGTAGTACTACAGTACTGAGGTATCTGTGTTGTTAGTAGTACTATAGTACTGAGGTATCTGTGTTGTTAGTAGTACTATAGTACTGAGGTATCTGTGTTGTTAGTAGTACTACAGTACTGAGGTATCTGTGTTGTTAGTAGTACTACAGTACTGAGGTATCTGTGTTGTTAGTAGTACTATAGTACTGAGGTATCTGTGTTGTTAGTAGTACTACAGTACTGAGGTATCTGTGTTGTTTGTAGTACTACAGTACTGAGGTATATGTGTTGTTAGTAGTACTACAATACTGAGGTATCTGTGTTGTTTGTAGTACCACAGTACTGAGGTATCTGTGTTGTTAGTTGTACCACAGTACTGAGGTATCTGTGTTGTTAGTAGTACTACAGTACTGAGGTATCTGTGTTGTTAATAGTACCACAGTACTGAGGTATCTGTGTTGTTTGTAGTACTACATTACTGAGGTATATGTGTTGTTAGTAGTACTACAGTACTGAGGTATCTGTGTTGTTTGTAGTACCACAATACTGAGGTATCTGTGTTGTTTGTAGTACCACAGTACTGAGGTATCTGTGTTGTTAGTAGTACCACAGTACTGAGGTATTTGTGTTGTTAGTAGTACTATAGTACTGAGGTATCTGTGTTGTTAGTAGTACTACAGTACTGAGGTATCTGTGTTGTTAGTAGTATCACAGTACTGAGGTATCTGTGTTGTTAGTAGTACTACAGTACTGAGGTATCTGTGTTGTTAATAGTACCACAGTACTGAGGTATCTGTGTTGTTTGTAGTACTACATTACTGAGGTATATGTGTTGTTAGTAGTACTACAGTACTGAGGTATCTGTGTTGTTTGTAGTACCACAATACTGAGGTATCTGTGTTGTTTGTAGTACCACAGTACTGAGGTATCTGTGTTGTTAGTAGTACCACAGTACTGAGGTATTTGTGTTGTTAGTAGTACTATAGTACTGAGGTATCTGTGTTGTTAGTAGTACTACAGTACTGAGGTATCTGTGTTGTTAGTAGTATCACAGTACTGAGGTATCTGTGTTGTTAGTAGTACTACAGTACTGAGGTATCTGTGTTGTTAGTAGTACTACAGTATTGAGGTATCTGTGTTGTTAGTAGTACTACAGTACTGAGGTATCTGTGTTGTTAGTAGTACCACAGTACTGAGGTATCTGTATTGTTTGTAGTACCACAGTACTGAGGTATCTGTGTTGTTAGTAGTACCACAGTACTGATGTATCTGTGTTGTTAGTAGTACCACATTACTGAGGTATCTGTGTTGTAAGTAGTACTACATTACTGAGGTATTTGTGTTGTTAGTAGTACTATAGTACTGAGGTATCTGTGTTGTTAGTAGTACTACAGTACTGAGGTATCTGTGTTGTTAGAAGTACTACAGTACTGAGGTATCTGTGTTGTTAGTAGTACTACAATACTGAGGTATCTGTGTTGTTAGTAGTACAACAATACTGAGGTATCTGTGTTGTTAGTAGTACTACAGTACTGAGGTATCTGTGTTGTTAGTAGTCCTACAATACTGAGGTATCTGTGTTGTTAGTAGTACCACAGTACTGAGGTATCTGTGTTGTTAGTAGTACTACAGTACTGAGGTATCTATGTTGTTAGTATTACTACATTACTGAGGTATCTGTGTTGTAAGTAGTACTACATTACTGAGGTATATGTGTTGTTAGTAGTACTACAGTACTGAGGTATCTGTGTTGCTAGTAGTACTACAGTACTGAGGTATCTGTGTTGTAAGTAGTACTATAGTACTGAGGTATCTGTGTTGTTAGTAGTACCACAGTACTGAGGTATCTGTGTTGTTAGTACTACTACAGTACTGAGGTATCTGTGTTGTTAGAAGTACTACAGTGCTGAGGTATCTGTGTTGTTAGTAGTACCACAGTACTGAGGTATCTGTGTTGTTTGTAGTACCACAGTACTGAGGTATCTGTGTTGTTTGTAGTACCACAGTACTGATGTATCTGTGTTGTTAGTAGTACCACATTACTGAGGTATCTGTGTTGTAAGTAGTACTACATTACTGAGGTATCTGTGCTGTTAGTAGTACCACAGTACTGAGGTATCTGTGTTGTTAGTAGTACTACAGTACTGAGGTATCTGTGTTGTTAGTAGTACTACAGTACTGAGGTATCTGTGTTGTTAGTAGTACTACAGTACTGAGGTATCTGTGTTGTTAGTAGTACTACAGTACTGAGGTATCTGTGTTGTTTGTAGTACTACAGGACTGAGGTATCTGTGTTGTTAGTAGTACTACATTACTGAGGTATCTGTGTTGTTAGTAGTACCACAGTACTGAGGTATCTGTGTTGTTTGTAGTACTACAGTACTGAGGTATATGTGTTGTTTGTAGTACTACAGTACTGAGGTATATGTGTTGTTTGTAGTACTACAGGATTGAGGTATCTGACTGACTCATTAGTAGGACAATTACATTTGCGAATGTGAGATTATGTCATGCCTTCAGAAGAGCTCATCTCTGTTTCTGATCAATTTGGCCCCAACCCAGTGTCTCATTCCGATTCACAACAGACACTTCCCCCATAGCTTCATACCATTTTATTTTCCTGAGCATCATGTCCAACAGAGAGGATTGTAAAGTGAAGACAAATTCAGTATATTCATAAAAATGGAAGAATAGTTGATTATATTTCTATACATACAGTGTCCAGTGATTCACTCAGGGGGGTTCATATCCTTTCTTCAACTGATTTGAAAACCAGATAGTATTTTGTTCTGGTTTTGGCCACAAGTTGTCAGACATAAGCACTGTTGTCAATAAGTTATGACACTTTAACCAGCGCAGTTACTGCAGGCATATAGGTCATGGATTCTGGTTGTGCTGCTTCATAATTGTGCCAGTTCATCAGCTGCAGGCCACCCATGGTGATGTGTCACAACAGGCAGAATTCAATTTGCTTCCTGAAGTGAGCCATCCCTATTAATTACTGATCATGCCACTGCCATACATCCATTTACTGTACAGCACATCTGTGAATGAATGTAATCCATGAGTTGAGTTGGCCATTCAGTGTAAACTATGGTGAGGCGTAGATATGACGATGCGTTACTTCTGTAAAAGTCCTGCTCTTTCTTGCACTGTGGACATGAATCCACCTACCAAGTTACACCCTACGCAGCCCTCAGCTCAAAGGACATGCCTGACATATGAGTACACTGTAGATGTCAACGTTGGGGTTAATGAAGTCAGTTTTCAATTCAGGGAATAGGATTTCAAAACTCAGGCTCCTATGTAGGTGTCACCTCAATGAAAGTCCTGTTTCCTGCAAGCATATCTTATGGATCTAGAGAGAAATGAAAACGATCAAGACAATATGGCTGCGTTTACACAGGCAGCTCAATGCTGTTCTTTAGCCACTAATTGGTCTTTTGACCAATCAGATCTTTTGAAAATAATTGGTCAAAAGATCAGAATTGGGCTGCCTGTGTAAACGTAGCCTAAGACACAAACTACCTAGACACACTATCGAATTGCAAAGTTGTAGGGAGAGGGAGGCTATTTCACAGAGTTTGATAACCTTATTAGGTTACAAATAAATACACCTCACTCTTCCTCCCCTCTCCTTATCCTCATCTTCCTCCCCTCTCCTTATCCTCATCCTCATCTCCTTATCCTCATTTTCCCCTCCCTTCCTCCCTCTCCTATCCTCCCTTCTCCTTCCCCCCTCTCCTTATCCTCATCTTCCGCCCCCCCCCTACCCTCCTCCCCCTCTACCCATCCTCCCCCCTCTCCTTATCCTCACTCCCCCCCCTACCTCATCCCCCCTCCTTACCTACCCCCCCCTCTCCTTATCCTCATCCCCCCCCCTATCCTCATCTCCTCCCCTCTCCTTATCCTCATCTTCCTCCCCGCCTTCTCACTCTCCCCTCCCTGCCTCACTCCCCCCTCCTTGTCCTCACCTCCCGCTCCTACTCTCCCCCCTCTCCTTATCCTCATCTCCTCCCCGCCCATGCTCATCTTCCTCCCCTCGCCCGTCCTCATCCCCCCCTTTTCCCTCCCCCCCCCCCCACCCGCCCTCGGAGATCCTCATCTTCCTCCCCTCTCCTTATCCTCATCTTCCTCCCCTCTCCTTATCCTCATCTTCCTCCCTCTCCTTGTCCTCATCTTCCTTCCTCTCCTTATCCTCATCTTCCTCCCTCTCCTTATCCTCATCTTCCTCCCCTCTCCTTATCCTCATTTCTCCCTCATTTCCCCCTCTATCCTCACTTCCTTCTCTCCTATCCTCATCTTCCTCCCCCTCTCCTTATCCTCATCTTCCCCCTCTCCTTATCCTAATTTCCTCTCCTCTTATCGCCATCTCGTCCCGCATCATCTTCCTCCCTCTCCTTATCCTCATCTCCCGCCCCCAGGCCTTATCCAGTATCTTCCTCCCCCTCCTTATCCTCATCTTCCGCCCCTCTCCTTATCCTCATCTTCCTCCCCTCATCTTCCTCCCCTCTCCTTATCCTCATCACTCCTCCCCCTCCGACGCATCCTTATCCTCATTTGCCTCCCCCCTCTATCCTCAATCTCCCCCCCTCCTTATCCTCATCTTCCGCCCCTCTCCTTTCCTCCTTGGCCTTGTCACATGTAATTACTTGATTATTAGCGAAGTTCTGTCACAGACAATCATGTCACCGTCTCTCGAGGTACACTAACGGTCAAATGTTTTAGAACACCTACTCTTTTAAAGGTTTTTCTTATTTTTTAAAAACTATTTTCTACATTGTAGAAAAATAGTGAAGACATCAAAACTATGAAATATCTCATATGGAATCATATAGTAACCAAAAAAGTGTTAAACAAATCAAAATATATTTTATATTTGAGATTCTTCAAATAGACACCCTTTGCCTTGATGACAGCTTTGCACACTCTTGTCATTCTCTCAACCAGCTTCATGAGGTAGTCACCTGGAATGCATTTCAATTAACAGGTGTGCCTTGTCAGAACAAAGTTTATTTTTAAAATGTATTTCCTTCTTAATGCGTTTGAGCCGATCAGTTGTGTTGTGACAAGGTAAGGGGGTATAGAGAAGATAGCCCTATTTGGTAAAAGACCAAGTCAATATTATGGCAAGAACAGCTCAAATAAGCAAAGAGAAACGACAGTCCATCATTACTTTAAGACATGAAGGTCAGTCAATACGGAACATATCAAGAACTTTGAAAGTTTCTTCAAGTGCAGTCGCAAAAACCATCAAGCGCTATGATGAAACTGGCTCTCATGAGGACCGCCACATGAATGGAAGACCCAGAGTTACCTCTGCTGCAGAGGATAAGTTCATTAGAGTTACCAGCCTCAGAAATTGCAGCCCAAATAAATGCTTCACAGAGTTCAAGTAACAGATACATCTCAACATCAACTGTTCAGAGGAGACTGTGTGAATCAGGCCTTCATGGTCGAATTGCTGCAAAGAAACCCTACTAAAGGACACCAATAAGAAGAAGAGACTTGCTTGGGCCAAGAAACACGAGCAATGGACATTAGACCGGTGGAAATTTGTATTTTGGTCTGGAGTCCAAATTGGAGATTTTTGGTTCCAACCGCTGTGTCTTTGTGAGACGCGGTGTGGGTGAACGGATGATCTCTTCATGTGTATTTCCCACCGTAAAGCATGGAGGAGGAGGTGTGGAGGTGTGGAGGTGCTTTGCTGGTGACACTGTCTGATTTATTTAGAATTCAAGGCACACTTAACCAGCATGGCTACCACAGCATTATGCAGTGATATGCATCCCATCTGATTTGGGCTTAGTGGGACTATCATTTGTTTTTCAACAGGACAATGACCCAACACACCTCCAGGCTGTGTAAGGGCTATTTTACCAAGAAGGAGAGTGATGGAGTGCTGCATCAGATGACCTGGCCTCCACAACCCCCCGACCTCAACCAAATTGAGATGGTTTGGGATGAGTCGGAGCGCAGAGTGAAGGAAAAGCAGCCAACAAGTGCTCAGCTGGTTGAGCGAATGCCAAGAGTGTGCAAAGCTGTCATCAAGGCAAAGGGTGGCTATTTGAAGAATCTCAAATATAAAATATATTTTGATTTGTTTAACACTGTCACGGAATCAGCCGAGGCTGCTCCTCCTCCTTGCTCGGGCAGGCTTCGGCGTTCGTCGTCCCCGGAGTACTAGCTGCCACCGATCTATGTTTCTGTGTTTGACTTGTTTTGTCTTGATTGTGTACACCGGTTTCCTATTATGTTGTATTGTATTCCCTATTTAACCCTCTGTCGTTCATTGTGTGTTGTGTGTGATTGTTCTCGTCATTTTCGGCAGTTGCTAGTGTGTGGGTATTCTCCTCCCTGTTTGGAGGTTGTTTTGTATTCTGGTTACTTTGTTAGTAAAGTATCGTTTCCAGTAGCTCGGTGTCCTGCGTTTGACTTCGCCTACCGCATTCACGTCGCACTTTGACAAACACTTTTTTGGTTACTACATGATTCCATATGTGTTATTTCATAGTTTTGATGTCTTCACTATTATTCTACAATATAGAAAATAGTAAAAATAAAGAAAAACCCTTGAATGAGTAGGTGTGTCCAAACGTTTGACCGGTAGTGTAGATTCACTGGCAGCCTGCACAGAGAGAGAGAAAGACAGTCAGTGGAGAGAAAGAGAGAGCGGAGAGAGAGAGCAGAGAGAGAGAGGGTGGAGAGAGAGAGCGGAGAGAGAGAGAGAGGGTGGAGAGAGAGAGCGGAGAGAGAGAGAGAGGGTGGAGAGAGAGAGCGGAGAGAGAGAAAGTGTCAGTGGAGAGAAAGAGAGAGCGGAGAAAGAGAGAGCGGAGAGAGAGACAGGGTGGAGAGAGAGAGCGGAGAGAGAGAGAGAGAGGTGGAGAGGAGAGCGAGAAGAGAGAGAGGGTGGAGAGGAGCAAGCGGAGAGAGATCGAGAGCGGAGAGAGAGAAAGGGGGTCCAGTGGGAGAGAAGAGAGAGCGGAGAAAGAGAGAGCGGGAGAGAGAGAAGGGTGGAGAGAGAGAGCGGATAGAGAGAGATGAGGGTGGAGAGAGAGAGCGGAGAGAGAGAGAGGGTGGAGAGAGAGAGCGGAGAGAGAGAAAGTGTCAGTGGAGAGAAAGAGAGAGCGGAGAAAGAGAGAGCAGAGAGAGAGAGAAAGTGTCAGTGGAGAGAAAGAAGAGTGGCGGAGAAAAGAGAGAGCGTAGTAGAGAGAGGGTGGAGAGAGAGAGGCGGAGAGATAGAGAGAGAGGGTGGAGAGAGAGAGGCGGAGAGAGAGAGAGCAGAGGAGAGAGAAGAGATGCGAGAAGAGAGAGCAGAGAAGAGAGAGCGGATGAGAGATAGCGTAGAGATAGAGATCTGGAAAGAGAGAGAGAGGGTGGATAGAGAGAAGCGGAGCGTAGAGAGAGAGGGTGAGAGATAGAAGTGTCAGTGATATGAAAGAATGAGCGGAGAAATGAGAGAGCGTAAGAAGAGGTTGGAGAGAGAAGAGCGGAGATATGAGGGTGAGAGAGAGAAGCGGATAGAGAGAGAGCAGAGAGATAGAGATGCGGAGAGAGAAGAGCGCATAAGATAGAGCGGAGAGAGAGAGAATATGGTTTGTGAGATATAGAATCGTGAGAGAAAGAGGTTGTAAGATATCGTTAAGTAGAAAGTTTCATTGTAGAGATAGATGATGAGCGTTTTGAAGAGGGTGAGTTTATGTAGAGTACGAGAGAGAAAAGTTGTCATGGAGAGAAAGAGAGTCTAGAAAAGAGAGCAGAGAGAGAGAGGGTGGAGAGAGAGAAAGAGGGGGGAGTGAGAGACTGTGACACTGAGTGAGAGCACAAGACAGAGAGAAAGAAGAAAGAGTGAGAGAGGAGAAAGAGAGAAAGAATGGATCTGTATGAATACCCACTCAACTATCAGGACACTGATACTACTATCTGACTGTAAGCAATGATTCAACTCATTAGACTCAGGTTCAAGTCAGACAGTGTGTGTCTGTCTGACTCCAGGGGCTTCAACTCACAAGGTGTAAATGTCATGTTGTGTATGGTGTTATGATATTATTGCACACGTGGATGGGATGCTGTGAATTAAATCAATGAATGAAATAATCTAGCATACAAGCACTAACTGATGCTGAAATCCTGGGGGTCTTCATTAACTATTTACAATTATTATCATGTAGTAAGAGAATTAACATCCTCAAATCCCCTGGTCTTTCTGTTTTTCCTGCACATACTAATGGGAGTTTTATTAGGGTTTGACAAGACAGGAATGATAACATGGTTTTAAGGAAAGATGAATTATAGTTCATTTGGAGCAACCAATTCATATTAGATATGGTAGGATTATTTTCCAATATTTATTTGATTTATTACGTTTTGGTGATATTGAATAGTTTTACAGAGAGGATGGAAGACCTCGAACGTCTACTAATGATCGGTCACAGAACAGAGTTTTGACTAGCAAAACTGACAATTTAATCTGATGTATTCTCTGCCCCATAGGAAATGCCTTTGTGGTGAGTTTGGCTCTGGCCGACCTAGTGGTGGAAATTTATCAACATTTTATTCAGATTTTAGATTATAATTGAATATATTTACACAAGAAATGGCAGACCTTGTTTACTGTCCTAACACTCTGAAGATCCATGAAATCTTATGCACTCTCTGCCCCATAGGAAATGCCTTTGTGGTGAGTTTGGCTCTGGCCGACCTAGTGGTGGCGATCTACCCCTACCCCCTGGTTCTGACGGCCATCTTTCACAACGGCTGGATCGCCGGGTACATCCACTGCCAGATCAGCGGCTTCCTGATGGGCCTGAGCGTCATCGGCTCCATCTTCAACATCACCGGCATAGCCATTAACCGCTACTGCTACATCTGTCACAGTCTGAAGTACGACAAGCTCTTCTCCAACAAGAACACCATGTGTTACGTCATCCTGGTGTGGGCGCTGACTGTACTGGCCGTCGTGCCCAACTGGTTTGTGGAGTCTCTGCAGTACGACCCGCGGGTCTACTCGTGTACTTTCGCCCAGTCGGTTAGTTCCTTGTACACCATCACCGTGGTCGTGGTTCACTTCATCCTCCCCATCAGTATCGTCACGTACTGCTACCTGAGGATCTGGATCCTGGTCTTACAGGTGAGGAGACGGGTGAAACCGGACACGAGGCCCAAGATCAAACCACACGACTTCCGTATCTTCCTGACTATGTTTGTGGTGTTTGTGTTGTTCGCTGTCTGCTGGGCTCCGCTGAACTTCATAGGGCTGGCGGTGGCTATCAACCCGAGACTGGGTCTGAATATCCCTGAGTGGCTCTTCACAGCCAGCTACTTCATGGCCTATTTCAACAGCTGCCTCAACGCAGTCATCTACGGAGTGCTCAACCATAACTTCAGGAAGGAGTACAAAAGGATTGTTCTGATCATTTTCAAGTTCCACTGCAGAGGTTTCCCTAGGGTGTCGGAACAGCACTGCTAAGGGTTCCATAGGATTCTGAAACAGCAATGCTGATGGTTCCAGAGAGTTCTAGAACAGAACTGCTGAGGGTTCCACAGGGTTCCGGAACAGTACTGCTGAGGGTTCTGGAACAGCACTGCAGAGGGTTCTGGAGGGCTCTGGAACAGCACTGCTGAGGGTTCTGGAGGGTTCCGGAACAGCATTGCTGATGGTTTCGTAGGTTTCTGGAACAGCACTTTTGAGGGTTCCATAGGGTTCTGAGACAGGTAAGACTGAGACTAAAACAGTGTGTCATGATGGGGGATGAGTCAAAGCTGTTGGCAATGTCACAATCATCTGTTAGTTGCAAGCTTTGTGTTACAAATCCTGAAACTTTGGTTTTGATCGCACTCCTTTTCCATGGGTTGTCTGTCTTGCATTTTCCCTGGAGACATTTTAGTATGGATCTGAGTGTAATTAAAAGTTTAATGGCAATCTGTTGAAGTACATTATTTGGTCATGATGTAAATCAACATCGTTACACATGTTATAGTGTTATTTATTGCACAACTCAATTCAAAGACTTTATTCAGATTGATTTCATAAGCAATATTGACTGCACTTCCATTAAAAACCCCAATCCTACCTATCTCTTTAAGCTAAGCCCAATTCAAACTCCACACATTTGCTTCATCCAAACAAAGAATGAGGAACTGAATACAAGAATAAATGAATGATTAAAAAAATATATATGAATTGATGTTTGAGGATGTCACAATACTTAATATTTCATTATAAGGTCCAATGGGACCTCACTGGTACAGTGGGATGGGAACATCAATTGGCCAATTAGCTGCAACTACCCAATCCTAGGTCCAATAAAATTTCATTTTGATTTACTTATTTCATTCAAATGATAAAATATAAGAAAAAAATTAAGGAAATGTTTAGTTTTTTCAAAGTTAGTAAAATAGCCAATGTAGAAATGTGGAGAAAACAGCCCTTCCAAAGGCTTTATTTTCAGTACAAACGACCACAGTGGTGTTGTAGCACATGAACAGGTGGGTCTAAAACTCCCAAGCGGGCCGCCCGGCGAGCAACAGCGAAATACACTCCGAATGACCTTAAATGATAAATCCCATATTGGCCTTTCACAGTCAGGCCAACCCAAGCTGTACTGTTCAGTAGGATAATAGCAGGACTACTATTGAAACAGATAAATTAGGCTGTCAACTGAGTCAGAAATACACAGGTTTCTGGTTTAGCCCATTTTAGTTTTTGTTCTAAGTCCATAGCAATACTTAAACCACATCAGAAGACCACTTTTGAGGTCTGGGAGAAATCAGAGACATTTTTTTTTTGAGTGTCAATCGAATCAAATGTTATTTGTCACATGCGCCAAATACAACAGGTGTAGACTTTACAGTGAAATGCTTACTTACAAGCCCTTAACCAACAATGCAGAGTTAAAAAGCAAGAACAACTAGCAAAATAACAATAACGAGGCTATATACAAGGAGTACCAGTACTGAGTCAATGTGCAGGGTTACCAGGTAGTAATGAGGCTATATACAAGGAGTACCAGTACTGAGTCAATGTGCAGGGTTACCAGGTAGTAATGAGGCTATATGCAAGGAGTACCAGTACTGAGTCAATGTGCAGGGGTACCAGGTAGTAACGAGGCTATATACAAGGAGTACCAGTACTGAGTCAATATTTAGGGTTACCAGGTAGTAATGAGGCTATATACAAGGAGTACCAGTACTGAGTCAATGTGCAGAGTTACCAGGTAGTAATGAGGCTATATACAAGGAGTACCAGTACTGAGTCAATGTGCAGGGGTACCAGGTAGTAACGAGGCTATATACAAGGAGTACCAGTACTGAGTCAATGTTTAGGGTTACCAGGTAGTAATGAGGCTATATACAAGGAGTACCAGTACTGAGTCAATGTGCAGGGTTACCAGGTAGTAATGAGGCTATATACAAGGAGTACCGGTACTGAGTCAATGTGCAGGAATACCAGGTAGTAATGAGGCTATATACAAGGTGTACCAGTACTGAGTCAATGTGCAGGGGTACCAGGTAGTAATGAGGCTATATACAAGGAGTACCAGTACTGAGTCAATGTGGAGGGTTACCAGGTAGTAATGAGGCTATATACAAGGAGTACCAGTACTGAGTCAATGTGGAGGGTTACCAGGTAGTAATGAGGCTATATACAAGGTGTACCAGTACTGAGTCAATGTGCAGGGATACCAGGTAGTAATGAGGCTATATACAAGGAGTACCAGTACTGAGTCAATGTGCAGGGTTACCAGGTAGTAATGAGGCTATATGCAAGGAGTACCAGTACTGAGTCAATGTGCAGGGTTACCAGGTAGTAATGAGGCTATATACAAGGAGTACCAGTACTGAGTCAATGTGCAGGGTTACCAGGTAGTAATGAGGCTATATACATATAATTGTTTTGTTACGTATCACTCGTATATGTTTAACCTGTGAGTTATTTATGACTTAAATAAGTTTAATGAGAAAATGTTGTGTCTAAGATAACATAAGTTTTAATAAAGAATGTCCACTGTGGATGTGCTGTTGATGTTTTTTCTTCTCTAGCTTTATATGTATATACAGTGCATTCGGAAAGTATTCAGACCCCTCAACTTATTCTATAATCAATCTACACACGGTACCCATAATGACCAGGCGAAAACAGGTTTATATTTTTTTGCAAATGTATTACAAATGAAAAACAGAAATACCTTATTTACATAAGTATTCAGGCCCTTTGCTATGAGACTCGAAATTGAGCTCAGGTGCATCCTGTTTCAATTGATCATCCTTGAGATGTTTCTACAACTTGATTGGAATCCACCTGTGGTAAATTTAATTGATTGGACATTATTTGGAAAGGCACACACCTGCCTATATAAAGTCCCACAGTTGACAGTGCATGTCAGAGCAAAAACCAAGCCATGAGGTCGAAGGAATGTCCGTAGAGCTCCGAGACAGGATTGTGTCGAAGACACAGATCTGGGGAAGGGTACCTAAACATTTCTTTAGCATTGAAGGTCCTCAAGAACACAGCGGCCTCCATCATTCTTAAATGGAAGAAGTTTGGAACCACCAAGACTCTTCCTAGAGCTGGCCGCCTGGCCAAACTGAGCAATCGGGGGAGAAGGGCCTTGGTCAGGGAGGTGACCAAGAACCCGATGGTCACTCTGACAGAGCTCCAGAGTTCCTCTGTGGAGATTGGAGAACCTTCCAGAAGGAGAACCATTTCTGCAGCACTCCACCAATCAGGCCTTTATGGTAGAGTGGCCAGACGGAAGCCACTCCTCAGTAAAAGGCAAGACAGCCCGCTTGGAGTTTGCCAAAAGGTACCTAAAGACTCTCAGACCATGAGAAACAAGATTCTCTGGTCTGATGAAACCAAGATTGAACCTGGCACCATCCCTACGGTGAAGCATGGTGGTGGCAGCATCATGCTGTTGGGATGTTTTTCAGCGGCAGGGACTGGGAGACTAGTCAGGATCGAGGGAAAGATGAACGGAGCAAAGTACAGAGAGATCCTTGATGAAAACCTGCTCCAGAGCGCTCAGCACCTCAGACTGGGGCGAAGGTTCACCTTCCAACAGAACAACGACCCTAAGCACACAGCCAAGACAATGCAGGAGTGACTTCGGGACAAGTCTCAATGTCCTTGAGTGGCCCAGCCAGAGCCCGGACTTGAACCCGATCGAACATCTCTGGAGAGACCTGAAAATAGCTGTGCAGTGACGCTCCCCATCCAACCTGACAGAGCTTGAGAGGATCTGCAGAGAAGAATGGGAGAAACTCCCCAAATACAGGTGTGCCAAGTTTGTAGCGTCATACCCAAGAAGACTTGAGGCTGTAATCGCTGCCAAAGGTGCTTCAACAAAGTACTGAGTAAAGGGTCTGAATACTTATGTAAAAGTGATATTTCTGGAGGTTTTTGTTCTTTTTTTGTAAAGAAATCTAAAAATCTGTTTTTGCTTTGTCATTATGGGGTATTGTGTGTAGATTGTTGAGGGGAAAAAAACGATTTAATCACTTTTAGAATAAGGCTGTAACGTAACAAAATGTAGAAAAAGTCAAGGGGTCTGAATACTTTCCAAATGCACTGTATGTTTTTCATCTAAGTGATGGACTTCCTGATATATACAATGGCCGTGTTTGAGAGAATCAAATCCATGATGCATTGAGGGTAAATGGTGACTGACAGACTGATCTACAAATACAAGGCCGTGTTCGAGACCATCAAAACCATGATGTATCATGGTAAATTGTGACTGACTGACTGATTTACAAATCATAGAGTAGTTATTTATGATGCAAAGTGATTTGTAGATCAGTCAGTCTCGACTCGCCTTTCAAGTCAGCTGCAATGTCTAATGTGCCCATAATGACTGTATATACGATGCAAAACGCGCCATACCGTCTGTATTTCTGCCTGCTTCAACGGCTACTAGATACACATTTAATAAACAGGATTATTAAACAGAAGTCACCCCAAACCCTTCTCCCTATGTCACTCATCAGTTCAGTCAAAAGAAGATTATTAAACAGTCCCAACAACTTAAGTGGAGAGCATTTTAGATAGAGGAAATATGCACATATTTTCTATACACACACTACTGGAGTTTTTATTTTTCTGAAATTACATTCAGTGACTCAAATGTACAATATTGCGCTGGCTTAACATACATCTGTGAAAACCCCAAGACAAACTGTGATGATAGTTGAGATATTCAGGATATGCAAATATTTATTTTCATTAAAGACATGCTCCGGTACTTTGGCGAATAGCAAGTATATATATTGTTTTCGCTTTGGGCTGGATGTGTCAATGCATAGTTCATACATGCATAATCTACGAGCAGAATCACTGTTTTACCTCAATTAGCCACAAAACCCTTAGCTTGAAAGCGACTTTTCTGGAAGCTGTGCGGCGCCATTTTCCCTAAATTTACCCCCACGTGGGCCAGCCCCTTAGCAATTTGAGTTTCAGCCCCTCGCCATTTGAGTGACAGCTATCAGGACACACACAGTAGAGAGAGGGAGAGAGAGCAATGATGTGGTGCACATATGACATAGTAGGCTATTGTTGGGGACCACTTTTGGCTCGTGGGCACTACTTTCAGTTTGCCAAAGTACCAGAGAGTATCTTTAAGTGAGTTCTATGATGGGTAAAGATAATTTCTGGAGAGGCAGACTAGTGAACGAGGCCTCTATGCCCTAAATGGCACCCTATTCCCTATATAGTGCACTACTTTTGACCAGGGCCCATAGGACTCTGGTCAAAAGTAGTGCACTATGAAGGGAATGGGGTGCCATTTAGGATGCACCCTATATGATGAGTACAATTTCTTAAGGGATGTAAACATCTGAATTTCCGTCAACACCACAACAAGCATCAAAACAAAACAACAAAAAAAGAAAATGCATATGTATAGTTTCCAGAAGTGTGAACTTTTTCATTAAGACTGTAATGAAATAAAAACATTAAAAAATTTATTTAAAAAATGTACACGTTCATGATCACGAAAAAATACCCATTATTAAATGCTCAGCAGAATTTCTCATGGGAAATTCAGAATACTATATTTTATTTTACAGTAAAGTTCAAACTCAACAATAGTACAAACTTCCCATTATTCAAAGTGGCAATCAGTTAAGTTCTCCCAATGCCATGTGATATCACCATGACATCCAACCCACTCTAAACTGGGCCCATTCAGTCCAACCCACTCTAAACTGGGCCCATTCAGTCCAACCCACTCTAAACTGGGGCCATTCAGTCCAACCCACTCTAAACTGGGCCCATTCAGTCCAACCCACTCTAAACTGGGGCCATTCAGTCCAACCCACTCTAAACTGGGCCCATTCGGTCCAACCCACTCTAAACTGGGCCCATTCAGTCCAACCCACTCTAAACTGGGCCCATTCAGTCCAACCCACTCTAAACTGGGCCCATTCAGTCCAACCCACTCTAAACTGGGCCCATTCAGTCCAACCCACTCTAAACTGGGCCCATTCAGTCCAACCCACTCTAAACTGGGGCCATTCAGTCCAACCCACTCTAAACTGGGCCCATTCAGTCCAACCCACTCTAAACTGGGCCCATTCAGTCCAACCCACTCTAAACTGGGGCCATTCAGTCCAACCCACTCTAAACTGGGGCCATTCAGTCCAACCCACTCTAAACTGGGGCCATTCAGTCCAACCCACTCTAAACTGGGCCCATTCAGTCCAACCCACTCTAAACTGGGCCCATTCAGTCCAACCCACTCTAAACTAGGGCCATTCAGTCCAACCCACTCTAAACTGGGGCACATTCAGTCCAACCCACTCTAAACTGGGCCCATTCAGTCCAACCCACTCTAAACTGGGGCCATTCAGTCCAACCCACTCTAAACTGGGCCCATTCAGTCCAACCCACTCTAAACTGGGCCCATTCAGTCCAACCCACTCTAAACTGGGCCCATTCAGTCCAACCCACTCTAAACTGGGCCCATTCAGTCCAACCCACTCTAAACTGGGGCCATACAGTCCAACCCACTCTAAACTGGGCCCATTCAAAAACTCAAACAACAGCTGGTACAACCGAGACAAGTGATAAAACAAATGCCGTTGTGATTTCTGGAAGCTTTTATATAAAAAACAATGCTGCCTAAATAAAAGAATGGAGCGTGACGAATAAATCCAGTGCCCAACTTGAGACAAATGTAATAAATGTAAGCACCAAAATAAATGACATCAACTGAGGTATAACAAATGGTATTAGCTCCACAATATACCGGTACACATTATTTTGTATTATTTCTTTACAGTCCCGCAAGTTCATTAGTATTAGTATTAGTTGATCCAGACAGCTTGACTTGAAAAATGTAAATGATGCTTTTCCTTTTTAAAAACAAAAAGATACCTTTCAACTATTACATATTTTGTCTCTCAATTTGTAGTCAGTAAACTGTATTCAATGTCAATGTCATAGCTACGTGTGCAGCAGTAATGATGATGGCGGTCCTCAGACTACAGGTTGTAGTGTTCTGATAGTCATATTAAACATTGTCAGTCATTTACCATTCTATTGGAAATAGTCCAGTCACGCCCCTGGTTAAAACATACAACATCTTCCCCTTCATAAGGCCTATAGCATTATGATATCATTCAACTTGGCACTTAACTGTTATTTAAATGCTATTTTATCACTTAAAACAACTTTAACCACTTCCAGGATGTATTTCAACAGAACATCTGACAAGTATTTGTATTAGTACCTTGTTTTAACAATAATAATAGATGTTATGAGAATGCGATTGCTCAATATTCAATGATTTGGTTAAATTATTCAACATAAAATAATAAAACATGTAAGACAGAAGGTGCGCTTGCGGCATGGAAGAGTTAAACATATAAAAGTAATACAGATAAGAAGTTAAAAACATCGAACCTGATGAGGCACAGAGAGAATGAAGCTCGTGTCAGAGGAATGTGTTCTCGTCTTGGCTATACGGTTACTGTGGAAATCAGTTGATTTACACTTATATTCCATTAAATCATTGTTCCACAACGACCAATAACTACAACAGTAAGCAGACTCACAATATCAATAAATGTGCAATCAATGAACCCACTACCTTGGCGTTACAAGCGCCGTGCTCTACCAGCTGAGCTACAGAGGACATGTCCGAGAACTTCTTCTAACTGTGTTTGAATGTTTGACAGCAGTGGAGGCTAGTGTCACTTTAAAATGGGAGGAAGGTACCATCCATTCTACAATGAGCATGTCCTCAGATTTCTCCACCCACCAGCCTCCACTGTTTGCCAGTCCGACCACAGTCAGATATCCTCCTCTTCCTCACTAGATCGCTCACTGGACCTGGAAGAAGTTCACATCCGGATTGTCATGTCTGCCGTTGCGTTTGATGATCTCTGTGATGGATATATAGGCGCCGGTGATGAAGCCCATGAAGCCAATGACAGAGATCAGGGAGTTCTTGACGATGACCCAGGGAGACAGACCTTGGTTGTGGTAGGTGAGGTTCTGGAGGAGTGGAGGGAAGATGAGAGCCAGGAAACTGCTGCTGATGGACCCCACTAAAGAGATGACCAGGTCCAGCTGGGGGATCAATATGGCCAGGACACCTGGGGAGAGAGAGAGAGAGAGATCAGGACAGAACCATTACATCACCTGGGGGGAGGGGGAGAGAGAGAGAGAGAGATCAGGACAGAACCATTACATCACCTGGGGGGGAGGGGGAGAGAGAGAGAGAGAGATCAGGACAGAACCATTACATCACCTGGGGGGAGGGGGAGAGAGAGAGAGAGAGATCAGGACAGAACCATTACATCACCTGGGGGGAGGGGAGAGAGAGAGAGAGAGATCAGGACAGAACCATTACATCACCTGGGGGGAGGGGGAGAGAGAGAGAGAGAGAGAGATCAGGACATAACCATTACATCACCTGGGGGAGGGGAGAGAGAGAGAGAGAGACAGGACGAACCATTACATCACCTGGGGGGAGGGGAGAGAGAGAGGAGAGAGAGGAGAGAGAGAGAGAGAGAGAGAGAGAGAGAGAGGGAGAGAGAGAGAGAAGATGAGAGAGAGAGGAGAGAGAGCGAGGAGAGAGAGAGAGAGAGAGAGATAGACAGAGAGAGAGAGAGGGGGGAGAGAGAGAGAGAGAGAGGGGGAGAGAGAGAGCGAGAGAGAGAGAGAAGGCAGAGGGGTGAAGGATGGGGGAGGGGGGCGGGGGGAACAGAGTCATCCAACCTCACACACTTCATTTTAGGGATGGAGAGCGGGACATAATTAGTCATCACATCTCTTGCTCTATACAGGTAGGGTGAGGGGTCGGGGGTGAGGGGTCGGGGGTGAGATGAGACAGAGTCAACTCTTTCTCTTACCTGGGGTGAGGGGGAATGAAACGAACGGCGGTAGCATAAAAACTACATTGAAAAACAACCAACTACCAAAGAAGCATAATTGTGATTGACTGTGTTTTTCATGTTGTCTTTGAGGCTGGTCAGTGGCCTTCCTGTGCTAGGAGACCACTGGGGACCACCCATCTTCATCTGTTGCTAAGGAGATTGATGTGATGTGAAAAGGAACAGGGGAGGGGCAGCTGTGGCAGCCCGAATAAGTTGTGTTGCCGTGCTGCTGTCACGCTGTTCCAGCTCCTCTCTGTTCCCCTCACAAACCACCAACCAACCACCCAACGAGACGCTTGGACAGAGCGAAACCAACCAGTTCCCTTAAAGTTCCCTGTTTTTCCTGTGTTTTATTTACACAGAGCGTACAAAACATTAGGAACACCTTCCTAATATTGAGTTGCACCCCCTTTTGCCCTTAGAACAGCCTCAGTTCGTCGGGGCATGGACTGTACAAGGTGTCGAGAGCGTTCCACAGGGATGCTGGCCCATGTTTGACTCCAATTCTTCCCACAGTTGTGTCAAGTTGGCTGGATGTCCTTTGGGTGGTGGACCATTCTTGATACACTCGGGAAACTGTTGCGCGTGAAAAATCCAGCAGCGTTGCAGTTCTTGACACATTCAAACCGGTGCGCCTGGCATCTACTATCATACCCCGTTCAAAGGCACTTAAATATTTTGCCTTGCCCATTCACAATCCATGCCTCAATTGTCTTAAGGCTTAAAAATCCATCTTTAACCCGTCTCCTCCCCTTCATCTACACTGATTGAAATGGATTTAACAAGTGACATCAATAAGGGGTCATAGCTTTCACCTGGTCAGTCAGTCATGGAAAGAGCAACTGTTCCTAATGTTTTATACACTCAGTATATATTTCCACATTGAGGTTGGAATAATACTGTGAAATTGTGAAAAGTATGATAATGCCCTTTTAGTGTAAGAGCTGTTTGAAAAGACCACCTGAAATTTCAGCCTGTTTTGGTGGGATGGAGTTTTGGCCTTCCATAGTGACATCACCAGGCTGTAAATTAGTTAATAGACCAATAAGAAAGAGTTCCAAACCTCTCTGCCAATAACAGCTAGTTTTCTGTTGTCCCCTCCCCCACCAGACCACTCCCAGACAGTCCTAGTACAATTCTTCCTTGTCCCTTTGCTAAGAAGATGTTTCTTTTTGACCATTTTAATTTAAAACCAATCACAGTAAGGTATGTAATTGTTACCCAGAAATGATTTGATGTGGAGATAAAACGGCTGCATTGGACCGATAAAGTCTGTTGTATAACAAGGGTCTCGAAACCACGAGGCTTTCCAGGCAATCGAACAAGACAAATTGTCCATGGAGGACAGGCTGACTAAGTCGATGTGCTTAGTGTTCGCCTAATGTACTCAACACTAACCACAAAGCCTAACAGATGGACCTCCTTAGAAAGAGAGAGAGAGGCTGTAGGAAGGATCAGACAGCTTCTAAAAGGGATAAGAGAGAATGTTTGGAGCACACCAATGTATGACGTCCCAATAGACACCAAAATAAAAAATTAAAACTCAAATACAGGGAGTCATTTTCCATCAGCTTTCTAGAATGTTTGATTTCACTATGCCACTAAAACCCTAGTAATAGAACCCGAGCAGAGACCGTGGGTAAAAGGAAAGGCCTCACCAGGCATCCATCCACAATGATAACCTTCCGGCCCAAGGGTCCCCGACTGACTCTCTTCAGCAGACTTTGGACATCCTCCTTACAGAGGCACACATTTCCCAACAAATGTTCCCCCAGTAGCATAACTCCACTGAACAGCCTAATAGTACCTTGAACTCCTACCGACATTCTTCAGGAAGATGACGCTGCCAGAAGAGGGATCAATTCACTAAGCAAGATAACTCCTCATAGTTTGGCAACAAACCCCCCCCGCTCAGTGTTCGCTTATTGCCTGGTTTCATGAATAAATCCATATATATTTATTGTGAAACCATGATTGAAATAATTGCATGTATACATTTTGGGTACTATGGTTAGAATAGAAAAAAGTCAGGCAGAAGCAGAAACAGTTTGTGAATGAGGTTCAGAGACAGGTTCATTTTAAATTTTTTATTTTCTCAGAGCCTTCCATTCTCATTTTCTCTACACACAAGCCTCTAGTCAGGTTTATTCACAATCAATCCCTTTTCTACAGCTACTTACTTGTTACCGCTTAAACTTTCAATCTACCATGGCTGAGAGAGCAAGAGGAGAAGAGCAGAGAAGAGCAGAGAAGCAGGGGTGAACATCAGTTCAGGGCGCATGCAATCTGCACGTTTTTTTCAAATGCAGACACATTCTCTAAAATGGACGAAGAAGCGAACGCGCACTAATCATAGTATCATCAATGGACACATGGACAGTAAATGGTTTTGAGAAGTACCCAACCAACACATCATTTCATTTTTCATCAGATGAGATGTACTGCTATTACTGAAAACCTCAGTAGAACTGAGAAACACACAGGTCATTGGAGGAACCCCTTTTCTCCCTGGCATTCTCTGAACCTTCAGTGACCTTCCGTGTTCTTTAACCCCCGGTGTCACTTTGACTTCCTCTTCGTGAGACGGGACAAATGAGGAGGGATTGCGTTTGAGAGCAGAGGGGGGTGACAGGGGCCGTGTGTCTCTGTGTGTGTGTCTCTGTGTGTGTGTCTCTGTGTGTGTGTCTCTGTGTGTGTGTCTCTGTGTGTGTGTCTCTGTGTGTGTGTCTCTGTGTGTGTGTCTCTGTGTGTGTGTCTCTGTGTGTGTGTCTCTGTGTGTGTGTGTCTCTGTGTGTGTGTCTCTGTGTGTGTGTCTCTGTGTGTGTGTCTCTGTGTGTGTGTCTCTGTGTCTGTGTCTCTGTGTCTGTGTCTCTGTGTGTGTGTCTCTGTGTCTGTGTCTCTGTGTGTGTGTCTCTGTGTGTGTGTCTCTGTGTGTGTGGAAACTATCTTCCTCAGGCGGGTTGAACAGGCCCAGGATGGCAGTACACCCCTCTGGTCGTGTGTCATGGCTCTCTGCCCCTGTACTTCTCAAGACAAGGCAGAGGTCTTAGGAGGCTCACGCGACGTCCTCTCCTGTTTCCATCAAGAGACACAGCAACAGACACGCTAGCCTCATCACCCTGGGGCCTGTAGCACAAAGGGGTTTAGTATCCTGGGAATGATCTCATCTGCCGTTTTACATTTATTCATTCATTCATTCATTCATTAAATGTGATGAACCACTTTGTTTTAATCTGAAAGATCACTTACAACGTCTGCTCTACTTTGGCTGAGGCCTACAAACCCCAGTCATTTTGGGCAACAGAATAGCTTTAGGGCAAACGTTGACAGCAGAAGACAAGAGGTATCATTATGTATCTGTTCTTACTGTGTGAGTTAGATAAATGATTAAACACATGGATGCATAAACAAATGGTTTTGGCGACAAGAAGCAACAACCCAAGCAACAACCCACCACCAGAGGAATTTTCATGTAGCCTACATTAGATATCTATTTTATTTAACCTTTATTTAACCAGTTAAGCCAGTTGAGAACAAGTTCTCATCATTCTATGATGCACTGGAGTAGAGAGCTCATTTCAAACAAGAGGGCTACTGCTACTGCTAGTGGTGGTAGGGTCCTGTGGTCCAGTCCACTGCTAGTGGTGGTGGGGTCCTGTGGTCCAGTCTACTGCTAGTGGTGGTAGGGTTCTGTGGTCCAGTCTACTGCTAGTGGTGGTGGGGTCCTGTGGTCCAGTCTATGCTAGGGTGGTGGGGTCCCCGTGGCCCCGTCTACTGCTAGGGGGTGGGGTCCTTGGTCCAGTCTAGCTAGTGGGGGGTGGGGGCCTGTGGTCCAGTCTTGTAGTGGTGGGAGGGGCCCGTGGTCCGTTATGCAGTGGTGGTGGGGTCCTGTGGGGTTTTTCTGCAGTGGTGGTGGGTCCCTGGGTCCCTTACTGCCTGTGGTGGTAGGGTCATGGTTCCCGCTATGCTATGGTGGGGGGTCTGGGTTCCCGTTACTGTGTGGTGGGGGGTTGGGTCCGTTATGTATGGTGGGCCCGTGGTCCGTTACTGCATGGTGGTGGGGTCCGTGTCCAGTCTTGCTAGTGGTGGTGGGGCCTGTTGGGCCCCTCTTGAGGGGGGGGTGGGTTCCTTGTCCAGCTACTGCTAGTGGGTAGGGGGCCAGTGGGCCCGTCTAGCTAGTTGGGGGGGGGGCCTGTGGGCCTTTGTGTGGTGGGGGGTCCGGGGCCAACCTAATGCTAGTGGGTGGTAGGGTCCTGTGGTCCAACCTACTGATGGGGGTAGGGTCCTGTGGGCCGTCTATGCTAGTGGTGGTGGGGTCCCGTGGTCCATCTACGGAGTGGTGGGGGGTCCTGGTTTCCCCTACGCTGTGGGGTGGGGGCCTGTGGGCCGCACTGTATGGTGGTGGGGTCGGGGGTCCCGTCTACTGCTGTGGGGGGGGGGGTCCTTGGTCCAAATCTATGCTAGTGGTTTTGGGGGGGGTCCCGGGGTCCAGTCATGCAGTGGTGGTTGGTCCCCTGGTCCGTCCCCCGTGTGTGTGGGTCCGTGGTCCAGCCCCCCCCTAGTGGTGGGGGGGGGGGCTTGGTCCAGTTCTTGCAGGGGGGGTGGGCCCGGGCCCAGCTACGCTGTGGGGTGGGGTCTGGGGTCCAGCTACTGCTAGTGGGGGTGGGGCCTGGGGGTCCAGCACTGCTGTGGTTGGGGGTCCTGTGGTCCGCTACGCTAGTGGTGGTGGGGGGCCTGTGGTCCATCTATCTAGTGGGTGGGGGGCCTGTGGTCCAGTCCTTTTATGGTGGTGGGGTTGTGGTCCCTCACTGCTAGTGGTGTGGGGGCCTGTGGTCCCCTCTACTGCTATGGTGGTGGGGGGGGTCCAGTGGGCCAAACCCACGCTAGTGGTGGTGGGGTCCTGTGGGCAGTCCCCCGTAGTGGTGGTGGGGTCAGTGGCCAGCCATGTAGGGGTTGGGGGTTTTTGGTCCCCACTGCTAGTGGTGGTGGGGTCCTGTGGTCCAGTCTACTGTAGTGGTGGTGGGGGCCTGTGGTCCCGTTACTGAGTGGTGGTGGGGTCCCGTGGTCCAGTCCCTGCAGTGGTGGGGGTCCTGGGGGCCGTTACTGCTAGTGGTGGTGGGGTCTGTGGTCCAGTTACTGTAGGGGTGGGGGGTTGTGGTAGTCCACTGCTAGGGTGGTAGGGTCCCCGTTCCAGTCCTGCTAGTGGTGGGGGGTCCGTGGCCAGTCCACGTAGGGTGGTGGGGTCCGTGGTCCGTCCATGCTAGTGGTGGTGGGGGCCTGTGGCCAGTTATGCTAGTGGTGGGTTGGGGGCCCGTGGTCCCGTTACTGTAGTGGGGTGGGGGCCTGTGGTCCAGTTACTTAGTGGGGTGGGGTCCCCGTGGCCATCAGTGCCCTTTTAAACAAGGACTTACCCTAATTTCTCATGTAAGTGCTCTGGGGAAGTCTGCTAAAAACTAAAAGAAAAAGTAAAAGTCTGCTAGTGGTTGGGGGGGTCCTGTGGGCCATCTATGCTGGTGTGGGGTCCTGTGTCCAGTCTACGTAGTGGTGGGGTTCCCGTGGGCCCTTACTGTAGTGGTGGTGGGGGGCCCGTGGTCCCCTTTTTACTGTAGTGGGGGGGGGTCCTGTGGTCCTCTATGTAGTGGGGGTGGGGTCCTGGGTCCAGTCTACTGCTAGGGTGGGGGGGTCCTGTGGCGTCTACGTAGTGGTGGTGGGGTCCTGTGGTCCAGTTATGCAGTGGTGGTGGGGGCCTGGGTCCCAAACCCCTGCTAGTGGTGGGAGGTCCATGGTCCAACCCTTTTTTGGGGTGGGGTCCCCGTGGTCCGTTACTGCTAGTGGTGGGGGGGTCCTGTGGGGCCCCCTTTCTGCTGTGGGGGTGGGGGCCCGGGTCCATTCTCCTTTTAGGGTGGGGGGTCCTGTGGTCCACCATGCTGTGGGGGTGGGGTCCTGTGGGCCGTCTACTGCTAGTTGTGGGGTCCTTGGTCCCGCCCACGGGGGGGGGGGTCTGTGGTCCAGTCCCACCCAGGGTGGTGGGTTGTGGTCCGTTATGTTTGTGGTGTAGGGTAGTGGGCCCCACTGCTAGTGGTGGGGTCCCGTGGTCCCCCCTCTGCAGTGGTGGGGTGGTGGGGGGGGTCCGTGGGCCCCTCTGTTGGTGGGGGGTCCGTGGCCATCTACGTGTGGTGGGGGGGGTCCAGTGGCACTATCTAGTGGTGGAGGGTCCAGTGGTCCTCTACTGCTAGTGGTGGGGGGTCCAGTGGTCCCCCTAGTGTGGTGGTAGGGTCCCGTGGTCCCTCTATGCTAGGGGGGGTGGGGTCCATGGGCCAACCTATGTAGTGGTGGGGGGTCCTGTGTCCCGTCTATGAGTGGTGGTGGGTCCTGTGGGCCCGTTACTGGGTGTGGTGGTGGGGGCCATGGTCCAGTCTATGCTAGTGGTGGGGGGGTCCGTGGTCCAGTCTACTGCTAGTGGGGGGGGGTCCATGGTCCCGTCTATGCTAGTGGGGTGGGGCCTGTCCAACCTACTGTAGTTGGTTGGGGGGCCGTGGGCCCCCCTGCTAGTGGTGTTTGGGGGCCAGGGTCCTCTAGTAGTGGTGGGGGGGTCCAGTTTCCAACCTATGCTATTGGGGTGGGTCGTGGGGCCAGTCTACCCTTGGGGGGGGTTTTTTTTTTTTTGGTTTTTTTTTTTTTTGGGGGGGGGGTAGGGCCAAACGAGGGGGTTCCAGGGCCCCTCTCAGTGGTGGGGGGGGTCCAGTGGGCCAGTTTGCTAGTGGGTGGTGGGGGGGCCAGGGCCAAACCTACTGTGTGGTGTTGGGGGGCGTGGTCCAGTCTAGCT